TTAGGTTCCTCGTGAGGCAGAGTGTGCCGGGAGGATCCGAAGCTTAGCAAAGGACATCTACGTAGGGCCACGAAAGCTGAGTCTTACGTCAGCTCCACGAGAGTTACGTCAGCTCTACGTAGGCTACGTCAGCTCTACGTAGGCTACGTCAGCTCTACGTAGGCTATACGTAGCCGTGGGTATACGTAGCAGGCAGTATATTAAATATAGAACAGATGGACAAAGAATGACTGCGTAGCCATGCTACATGGCATGAAAGGCGTGCACAGCTGCATATATTTATAAGAAATCAATAGCAAAACCTTCCAATTTCATTTCTGCACGCATATCTAAGATCGGCATATATGCAATATTTAAAAATGTTTATATAAATATAAATATATATATATATATATATATACATATACGTACGGGCGATCGCATACGTGCCATGGTTTGCGGTATGCCGCCGTGCACAAAGGACATCTCCGCAACGTAGATGTATTGCTTGTGATATATTATAATTACATTATAATAAATTTCATATATGTTACTTAATATTTTATTATATATAGTTTACACACACATACGTGCCACGATGTGCAGCTCCGGAGGTATGAAGCCTTGCGCAAAGGACATCTCCGCAACGTAGACGACGTACTATATACGTTTGCAACTGCATGCATGATATACGTATACACGTAAACGACGCGACGCTCTGCAAAGGACATTTCCGCAGCGTATATACACACAGCCGCGCATATGCACGTTTATGCATGGCTGCGATGTGCATGACTCCGCTACCATGCATGGTTGCACGCATGCATGCATGCTCTCGAACGTAGGAAGTTGAGATATGTGCGGAAACTATTATAGCAAATCCATTGCCAGCGCACATGCAATCAAACCATGATTGCATGAAGTGGGCTGCCAAAACCATTTCTTTGAGCCAAAAAAAGAGTGTAAAAACAGGAAAGCAAACATGTAGTGTGTGTTTGTATAGATATACATATGTATGTCTGTGTGTATGTATGTATGTATGTATGTATGTATGTATGTATGTATGTATGCATTTCTGGTTCCCTTGGCACGTATGTATATATGTATGTGTGTATGTATATAATATAGATACACAGATATGCATATGTATTTATATGTATATATATATATAGATGCGTATCTATGTGCATCTACAGAAGTAGCTTCCGGGCGTTGGGCCTTCGGGGGTCAGCTGCCGAGATCGGTGTTTGGGGTTCGTAAACCGAAACTACAGTCTTGAATGCTAATCCCTTTTTTCCTTATGGGTCCTGAAATCCAGCCCGGAAGAAGGTTCTAAGAAGGCCGTGGTGTTCGCCTAAACCCTGCACCCAAACCCTAAGACCCTAGAAAGCACGCTTGTCCGGACAATAGTATGACAGTACAAGCTTTCAGTGGCAGCTGGTTGTCATATCCCAAAATCCCTGACCCCAGCTGTTTAAAACCTGTGGTTTTGAAGGTTCTGGGCTGTTTGAGTTTCAAGGCATTTAGGGTTTTACAAAGTTATAAGGGCTGGTTACTTTGACAAGGTTCGCTTTGAAATCGAGGTTTCAGGCTTGAGGCTCCCCAGAGACTCCAATACCCCTTGATTAAGGAATATACCTTAAATCATAATGGGATCCCTAATAAGATTTAAAGTATATTCCTTAATTAAGGGGTATTGGAGTCTCTAGGTCCTACTTTATAGAATGTACTGACCCTGGCATTAAGGCCCACCTCAAGCATTGCACCATCGAAGTACCGACGCCCTAAATCCAACCTTTGCGACTCCTGCAGCCTTCAAGGGTGTTTAACTTAAGGGATGTATGGCTAGGGTTATAGGCTTATAAAGCTGAAGTCTTGTAGTTACCCTTAAGCCTTGCGCCGGCACATCCTCGAATCCTCTGCAGAAAGGAGCTTAGGGTTTAGGATTTAAGGTTTTCAGGTTAATGCAGGTCCTTCGTCTTTTTTTCTGGGAGGGGTTGATACATCTTCTACAGACGTAACCTGGGCGAGAATTTGGCTTGGGGCCCGAGCTGCTGTTGTAATTACATACGGTTCGAATTATCGGAAGATTTGGGGTTCTAGAGCCTTAAGGGTCGGTTAGGGGATATATGCTCATCTGAAACCCCGAATACCCAAACCCCCGAAATCCCTGTCCCACGACTTTCACAAGTCCCACGCGCGACTGCTGCGAAGCTCTCGAGGCGGGGCTTTCCGACACACTTTAAGCCTAAATTCCAAAGGGTATCCCAACACCTTTATAAAAGCTTATGCCGGTCTATAGTATGGTCACTCTCGTGAACGTCGGAAGCGGAGGCTCAGCAACAGCATAATTCTTGCATAAAGCCGGGACATAAGAGTCGCGGCATGGCATTTAACGCCAACTCTCTTCAGTTTACCCAGAAACGACTCCTCTGACCACACAGCTCCAATGACCATCAAGTTCAGCTTGGTGCGGCGCATGTGCCGCGAGAGGTGAAGCAGGTAGTGCAGTTTAGGCCGGCAGCGGAAGCATTTCCACTTTCTTGACAAACATTCAGCTGCCAACAGCTGAAATAATTTCAAGTGCTTGCACATCTTTCCATGGGCTTCCTTACATGGGGGACATGGCATTCGGAATACGGTTACTACGGTTTCTTTTATAGGTGCGTCCTTTATTTATGTTCCCCAAAACACGGGGCCTCAGCGTCGTTCTCCGCTAGAATAAGGCCACCGGAATCCAACAGCTTCATGGCATCGTACAGGGTCCACAAACAGACCGTGATCATCTGCAGCATCGGTTCCTGTTGGGAGGCTTGGGATTTGGGGTTCCAGTTTAGGGTTTAGTTTAGAGCTACCGGCTGTAGGGTTGGGGGTTTCGGACGTTCTCGGGTCTAGAGTCCAAATACTCGAAACGAAAACCGTTGCAACACCCACCCGACATCAGAAATTCCAATCATGCTCCTCGGGTCTCGCAGCGGAAAACGCAGCAGCTTTAAGACAAAAAAACCACAGACTTGTTTTCACACTCATGGCTTTGAAGACACTTCCAAGCTCAGCCCAATCTTCGTGGGTGGTGTTGCTCTTCGTGAATCTTGGCATATCCAGCTGTATCCTTACAATTTCTTGTGTCATCTGTCTTGCTTTCCAGCGTTGGCGTTCAGAGTTAATAAAACACAACACAGTTTTGCTGAAGCACTAGTCCCGAAATGCTTGTGTTCGCGGCACGTATCCTTCATCTCAACCGAGAAAGCTTTCAGGTTGCTCTCGTACTTTTCAGACCCCAGAAGGCCCATTCGGTGCCAAACAAAAAGGCAAGAGCCGAGCAGCACACGAGCCGTACCCAGCCATACGATATGCATCGCATCAAAAAACACAGTCTCCAGCCGGAATCCCGGCATCCCCATCCATGGAGAGGGGTCGGTTTCATGCCTGACGTAGTCTTCGTGCTTTAGCTCTGTCATCCAGCAAGCAGCATCTTCACTCAAGTGCGTATAGGCCAAGATGTTGTTGGCCGAGGGAGCAGTGGCCATGCAAGAGTCGCATATGTTGTTGCACAGATAATACCGTGAAAAAAATGTGCCTGTACCCTCGCCTTGAGGTCTGCTTTCCATCCGAAGTACACTAGCCTCCAGCCAGATGCTAAAGGTTGGCCTTTCATACTCAGCTGAAACGGCGAAGTAAAGCAATCATTGTCCATGTCCACTGCGGGCCCAACCCCTTTAAGGCTTTGCTCCATTGACCACGACAAAACGGCCGCAACTTTCGAGTGAGCATATCGCTGCACCGCCTCTTCCCGCATGCACGCGTGCGGGATGATGCAATTGGGGAATTTAACATCCCAAACCTGCATGAAGTTTGAAACGAAAAGGTTTTCGTATTGAACACTGAGTGAAATCCGAAAACACAGAGAGAAACAAGAGTTTGCATACAGAGTGCCCAGGGACATCCGAGTCTTTATCCGTGAAAACCGAGCTCATATTCCATACGATGTATTCCGAGTTCCGATAAAACTCAGCCCCGTCGCAGTGGAAACAGACCGGCACACATCCTTGTGGGTATTTTCTGTTTGTTATGCATGTCACTGTCTCTTTCAAAGATGTATTCAGAAAATGGCTACTTGTTTCTGCACAAGGGGCTCGCGAGGTCCACATCCTCGCTGAAGACAGGGTGATGTCTCCAGTCGTCGTGTTGTCGGCAATGCTCCCAAAAGGCTTTGATGTCGCTCGTCGCAAACCCGCCAGTCATCGATCGTTGAAACTGGCGCATTTCGGAAACACACATCCCTTCTCGAACTCTCTCTCTCTCTCTCTCTCTCTCTCGCTCGCTCTCTCTCTTTGTTTGACGGTTTCTGTGTCATTAGCATGGAACGGCACACTGCAACTGATTTCCGCCGGCCTGCACAGGCCCCGCTTGATGTACACAGTGGAGAATCTCGTGGGGCAATAGCACCGGAATCTTGACGATGTCCGTCTTTGTCGAATTGGGGACCTGCATGAAGAATGGACAGAGCTACATATATAATTAGAGGTTCGTCGCAGACAAGTTTGTCTACAAAAAATTGAGAATTATCGAGGTGCCGAAAGCTCCATCCAAACCGGCAAAGGTTCAAGGTGAAAGTTCCACAGATTTCTCATCCAGCGATGGAGATCCCTTTCTTGATTCGATTCATGACGGCCGCTTGCTCCGAGCGAAGCAAATGCAGTCATCGCCTCATGAGGAACGTCCTTCACGATCGCACGAGCCAGGGTAGCCAACTGTTGAACGCTGGCTTGGCCCTGTCCCAGCATGCCTTGCTTTTGATGTTGGCGGTTAGCTCCGAAAGAAACGACACACCACTATGATGTTTATGCTACATTTTCCGAGAATCTAATGAACTCATCGATAGTGTGTGAACTCATGTCATCCACCTTCCGCTTCCGTGTCCCGCGTGTGCTTGTATGCAGCGCAGCAGTCGTAGAAGCCGCACATTGTGCAGCCGAATCAGTCCTTGCAGCAAGAATGCTACCTATAGTGTACCGGCATAAGTCCCAGCAAAGAAACTCTCTTATCATTGGGCAGACAGGCTTTGGGAGTTCGGGTCGCGGGCTTACAGTTTAGGGGTTTGGGCTTAGTTTGGGGTCCAGGGTGCTTTTGGGACTTACCTATTCAACACGAAGCTAGTCATCCCTATCTAGATTGGTCAAAGCCCGATCCTTCCAGCAGTTAAAGAATTGCCGAGTGATGAGGTCTTGAGGGCTTTGGGGGTATGTTTTCTGCAAAGACAATAAGTGAGGGGCCTCTGTTTTCCAAGTCAGGATGACCCGAAACCCGTAAACCCTCAACCCTTAACCTAAAACCTAGCCCTACACCCTAAACCTTCAACTTAAACCTCCAAAGCCCTCACGCCCCTCGCCTCGACCCTAAAGCCCCTATGGACCTTGCATCCCAAACCCGAGACCCTAATCCCCAAACCCGAAACCCTCGACCCTCTCCATTGGCAGCACGCCTGGTCACAGGCGAAGATGTCGAGAGACCTGGGCATGCGCAAGGAGAGCTCCGGGGTTTGGGGTGGCGGTTTTAGGTACTTCGAGGGTAATCCCTAAGCCCTATAAACCCTTGATGCTTGAAGCTTCAAGCTTTGGGGCAGCTTGGTCCGGTTCAGGGTTCTTGGGGATGAGATTGTTGCCCATTAGAATGTTCTGGGTGGTGGCGTACAGAATTTAGCTTACGGGGCTTTATAAGACAGAGAAACTCGCAGGTTTGATGTGGTTATTTAGGGAACATCGGAAACATCATACAATGCAAACGAATGCTGCTCTCCCGGACTTTCATGACGTTGCCCACAGAAGCTGCCATCATGACTGCAGATGCTGTGCTTTGCGCAGCACGAGACTTGAAATCGGGCTCACTTGAGCGATTGGCATTGTGCATGCTGCTTGCTTACAGCCTAGAAGCTTCACAAACTGCGAAGTACTACCGTGTAGCACGGCCGACAGCCATCACTCCAAGCCAAAACGCCCGTCTGCAACTTGTGAAACCTGTTACGCACTCTTGGCCTCGTTGGCCTTCTTGCCCGCCTTCTTCTTTTTGTCCTTCTTGTTCAAGCCATTGAGCAAGCCCTTGGCGGATGCCTGACCAAACAGCTGGTGCTAGTGAACCTATAAAAAAACCCTGAACCCGGAAACCTTAAACCCCAAACCTAAACCCTAAACCCCAAACCTAAACCCTAAACATAAACCCTAAACCCTAAACCTTCTGTGCTTATGAAGGTTTTGAAATTCAAGGCTTCACGAGCCTTGGGCTTAGGACTTAGGGCTTCAGAAATTTAGGCCTTGAGGTTTTGCGAGTCTAGAGTTCAGGCTTTAGGGGTTTAGGGGTTTAGGGCTTTAGGGATTTAGGGGTTTAGGGGTGTAGGGTTTAGGGTTCAAGATTTGGGTTTTGTTCTTACTTAGGGTGGCTCAGGGCGGGGCCATGGGGATTGCTTTGGGCTGTGAGCTTAGCTTCACGACTTCGGGCTGTCAAGGGCCTGGGGCTTGGGATTATCGGTGCCTTTATGACTTATGATACCGCCGAAACCATGATATAGCGGTTTAGGGTTTAGGGTTTAGCGCAAGTATAGGAGTGTAGGGCTTCTGGTTTCAAAGACAGCGAAGTCTTGGTAGGAGGGAGCATAGTATGGTTTGTAAGTCGTGCATGTATGTGTGTGTTTGTGCATGTATGCATCTGTGTATGTAATTATGTATGTAGTTGTACATGCATGTGTGTGTACGTGTACATGTGCATGGAAAACATGCATGGGCATATGCACACACATGTGTATATATATATATATATACAAATACACATGCATATGTGTGTGTGTGTACGTAAATAAGTAAGTATGTAGGTATGTAGGTATGTAGGTATGTAGGTATGTACGTATGTAGGTATGTAGGTATGTAGGTATGTATGTATGTATGTATGTATGTATGTATGTATCGACAGGTATGTGTACAATTCACATACCTCACTCACTCACTCACTCACTCACTCACTCCCTCCCTCCCTCCCTCACTCACTCACTCACTCACTCACTCCCTCACTCCCTCACTCCCTCACTCCCTCATTCCCTCACTCCCTCACTCCCTCACTCCCTCACTCCCTCACTCCCTCACTCCCTCACTCCCTCACTCCCTCCCTCCCTCCCTCCCTCCCTCACTCACTCACTCACTCACTCACTCACTCACTCACTCACTCAAATGGCACGCACCTACCTACCCACCACTCATGCGCACTTACGAACCCAGAACACCACCCACACCCACACCCCACCCCGCCACAAAGCACTGCGCCTCAGCCTTCTCATACCATGCGTGCATCGCGTCGATGATGTCGTAGAACCTGGGTCGCAAATTTTGGGCCACTCTTATGTACTCTTGTTTATGGCTTTGCAGGGGTATCTATTTATTGATTGATTAATACAACAAAAATCGGGGCCCTGTATGATGTAAAGTATAACCCAGGAGCTTGGTGTACTTGGAGTTTTTCTTCACTTGGGCCTTTTTGAGGCCTTGGAGTTTCCCGTAGATGCGCTCCAATTTCGACGAGTGCTTCTGCAGGTCGGAAGACAAATCCCCACTGTACTCGATGTGTGCCAAGCTTAACGCGTACTTCCTTGATGCACCGCTCTCGTTCAAGATCTCATTCATGCGATCCTGGCAGAGCCTGAGTACCAATATGCTGCTGTCACTCTACAGTCTCTACAGTGCACTCGCTCAGGCTCTCACACAGACTCCCTGAAAATGTTGCCTAGTCATTGGCAGACAATTGTTCTATGCACCGGAATACTCTCCACTGGGGCCACGACTCCCATGGCTCCTTGGGAGCCATCTTCTCTGCATCCTCCTCCGTCTTGGCCTTTGCCGGCTTCGGCTTGGCCACACCCTCCTTCACCATGGCGTCCAGGAGGTTTTTCGATCCCTCCTCATTCATGCCCTCAATGGCCGGAAGGGCCCCGGATGCCAGCATGCCGCCTTCGCTCGTCAAGGCGTCCACCAGGCCCTTATCGGGGGCTGTGTCCTTCACCTTCAGGCCCAACGACTCGGTAGTCTTTGCCTCGCGCCGCATCTTCGAACCGCCGTTCACGTAGAAGAAATACTCTTCCTCGTCGCCGGGGAAGTCCTCGTCTTCGTCATACATCTTCTTCTTCAGAAGCTTCTCGATCAAAGCCTTTGCCTTCCTGAAAGATGCACCGGATGGATTTGCTATGCAATTCAAGACCTCGTGAAGAATGTGATAATCCGAGGCCAAGTGGCTCTTGGGGGTACTTCTTCTCGATCTCTCGCTTCTTCAGGCCCTGGCGCTCTTTTCTAGCAAGCGTACTGTTCTCGGCCCTCCTTTCCATCACGAGACTCACCCTTAGATGCCACACAAATGGAGGCTGAAATCCCGTGCAACTTTGCATGTTTCATGAAAATATATAGCCAAAACACTTCTCCCAATCGCCACCACATTCAAGCCATCTACGGAACATATCCAACTTGTTCTTTTCCACGTGCGCTGCAAGTGCCGTAGTGCACTTGCGCTTATCCAAAACTTGTCTGCTGAATTTGTCCCATTCATTCTTATGTGTCGTACCTCAGTTCTGTGGCTTGTTCATTTTATCATCCTGTGCACACATTGCATGTTAATCACGAGACACACACACACACACGATTTGATGACGGGGCTGCTGTTGGCACTTGCAAAGTCAGCAGCACCCTGCTGTGTCGTCTCCCCGGCAGAAACCATGGCCTTGCCGATCGCGGCCGCGGTGCTCGGCGCCAGCTTCTCGACAGCCACAAGCGCGTCCTGCTTCTCTGTCTTCTCTTTCTTCTCCTTGCGGCGGCTTGACTTCTCGGTCTTCTCCTCGGTAACACACGGCTTCTCGGTCTTCTCCTCCTTGTGCGGCTTCTCGGTCTTCTCCTCCTTGTGGGGCTTCTCGGTCTTCTCCTCCTTGTGGGGCTTCTCGGTCTTCTTCTCCTTGTGGGGCTTCTCGGTCTTCTTCTCGCGGTTGTTGGGCTTCTCGGTCTTCTTTTCGGGCTTGTCCGGCGTCTCGGTCTTGTGGTGCTTCTCGGTCTTCTGCTTCTTGGTAGGCTTCTCGTCCGACGACGACAACGACTCAGTCGCCGAGGATGCGTCATCCTCGCTTTCGTCCTCAACTGCAGCCTCGCTGCCGTCGCCATCTCCGCTCTCGGAACCCGAAGCGGAAGACGCCGGAAGCTCCTCCGAGCCTTCGGCCGATTCCTCCTCCTCAGAGCCTGGCTCAGAGGAACCCTCGCCGGACTCATCGTCGTCCTGCTGGCAACCAATGCTAAGGCTAAGGTGCTACATTAATCAATCAAAGCACTCAGGCGTGGAAAGCAGCAGGACGGGCCTGCAGCCCCGTTTCTCCGGCAAGGCGGTCCTCCAAGTCCTCAGCCGACTCCCTGGCCAGGTACTGCTCCACAGTCAGGCCTTCGGCAGCGGCTGCCTTCTTCACTTCCATGAGCGCCGCGATATGCCCCCTCTGGGATGTCGTCGGCGAGGGAGTGGGGCGGATCTTGCTCACGGGAGTCTGCGGCTCACTGCACTCACTCTTTGCCACCACCGCAGTCGTCTCCACGGGTGCGGCGGGCGGCTTCTGCTCCTTCTTCTCTTTGCCCTTCTTGTCCTTCTTCTCGGCCAACTTGGTCTTCTTGAGCAGGCGCCGCTTGGGGCTTGCAAGCTTCTTGTCTTTGGTAACACGTTTGCCCATGGCCGCTGCACAGGCCACTCAGATCTACAAAAATTTCAGCAAAATGCTGCTGACATGCAAAAGTGTGAAGTTGCAAGCACAGAGCCTGTCTGTAGCATCACCATGCATTGCATACAGAGGAAAAGACCTTTAAGGACGTCTGCTTTGCATGGAAATGAGGCAATGACACTTGTGTGCATACATGCATATTCTGTATGTATGAAATGTAAACATGTGAGATGTATGTGATGTACGTGTGTGTGTGTGTGTGTGTGTTTGTACGTATGTATGCATGTATGCAGGTAACATGTTACTGGCATATGTATATGGTATAGGTCTGTAGGTCAGTAGGTCGGTCGGTAGGCAAGCAGGAAGGATGGTAGGTCGGTAGGTAGGTAGCTAGCTAGGTAGGTAGGGTAGGTCGGTAGGTAGGTAGGTAGGTAGGTAGGTAGGTAGGTAGGTAGGTAGGTAGGTAGGTAAGGGGTCTCCCTATATTATACCTACATAGGATATTTTAGGGGGCAGGAGAGCATCATGAGCATATCAGGACGGTACCCGCAAAAACAAGAACAGCCGCGAATGGGCGCACGCAGCCGCGAACCGCAGACCACAGCCGCGAACGGGAGCACACAGCCGCACACAGCCACGAACCGCAGACCACAGCCGCGAACGGGAGCACACAGCCGCGTGCGGGAGCACACAGCAGCGAATAGGCGCACACAGCCGCGAACCACAGACCATAGCCGCGAACGGGAGCACACAGCCGCGAATAGGCGCACACAGCCGCGAATGAGAGCACACACGGCCGAACCACAGACCACAGCCGCGAACAGCGGAGCACACACCCCCGAACCACGGAACGAACAGCACAGCCGCGAACAGGAGGGCGATGCACGCACGAGTGGGAGGCCGTGCCCGGCCGCAGGGAAAAACCACAGCCAAGAACGGGAGCTGCACAGCACAATTAATTTCGCCGCGGCCGCGGTTCAGGAAATTTGGGATGGGACGGAACGGGCCGAGCTGCAACCTTTTTTTTTCCCCCCGCATCGGTTGCCCAAAATGGCTATCTCCCACACGCGGCTGTTCTCGACCATACGCGGCTTTTTCTCGCACCATACGCGGCTGAGTTTGGGACGAACCGGGGAAAACCGGGCCCCCCCCCCAAAAAAAAAAAAA